CTGATTTGGTAGAAGGCAAATGAAAAATGTCCCACACTCAACCACTTTATAGGATTTTAATTACATTTTAATGATTATAACAGAAACCGGGTTTCTCGTAACTTTCCACGTTTCTGTTGCCGCACTCCAGAACTTGTGGCCTTTCTTGAACACTTGCTGGTCTTGGACTTCTGATCTGTATTCTCAGTGTTTGCATTACTGTATTCAGTGTTCCTCAGCCTGCTGCCCTCCAGGTGTGCAGGACTGCAGTTCCCATCATCCTCCACCCAGCATGGCCAACACCCTTTACTGTTCTGTTACCTACGCATTTGACACACCGCCTGCTACTCTCACAATACAGGAAGTCGAGGCAGCTTACAAAAAGCTTAGGAACAGGTCCAGACTGAAATGTGGAAAGCAGGTATAGATACAGAACAGGCGAAATGTTGCGGTGCTGAAACACAAGTAGATACAGTAATTCATAAAGTTAAAATGCTACAGTGTTGTTGTTTTTTTAAAAAAAACACAATATAGAAGAGTACTGCACCAATCTGTCAAAACCATCAGGGCGAGGCAACAGCGCTAGAATCGCTGAGGGCATCAACTTAGGTAGGAAATAACTCAGACCCCCCAAGCTCTTAGCACGTGTGTATGGTTTCCTCTGATATCCCAAATGTTGGTTGGATTCTGTGCCTTCATTTTCAGAGTGGCTAGAGGTGGATGGGTGGAGGGGGGGCAGTATATAGAGAGAAGCCGTTGCCACTCGTGGTATACACACCTGGATGGAGGTGACAACCGGCCCCGACAAGCCTCTATGGGAACCGTCTTCCTCCCGGGGCCTCTGCTGCTTCTCTTCTCTGGTGTTCCCCTTTCGTGGTTGGCAGGTCACCCACAAAAGCCGTGCCTTTTCTCCCCCCCTCGGTTTGTGCAGTTCTGTAGAATTAACTTCCCGGCCCCGCCGACTCCCTCGTCCCCAAGCAGCCATGAAACGATGGCTGCAGAGCCTTCCGCAGGCACGTCGGGGGCCGCTCACTGAGCTGCCGCAGAGTTTGCGCCTGCCCTCCCTCCAAGTGGCTCCAGGCCAAAAGGTTTTACAGGTCACTGTGGCACCTTCCCCCCCCCCTCTGTAAAAGACTCCCATTGGGCTCAGGTCGGTGTCTCTTTCTCTCCATAATCGCCGACGTCGCACTTGCCGGAGGTGCTCGGAAGAAAGCGTCGCCGTCCCAGGGGGGAAGAGTTCAGTCCGGAGTCTTCAAAGCCTATTAAGGAGCCGAAGCCGAGTGGGAATGGGGTGTCAAAAATAAATTAAAAAATCTCCAGGGCCACGTTGGGCTCCCAGAACTTTGCTTCTGTAAGAGATTGTTCACGTCTTACAAGGAACAGGAGAGGGCGTGCAAAGTGGAAGTATAATATTATGACACATTTTTATAGTGCATCGGTTGCAGGGAACGTGCTTTATAACTTCTGCCTCGCTCCTCCCACCCTTTGCTGGTGCGTGTGTGGGTGCGCACGTGTGTGTTTTGTAAAAGCCTTGAGATTCTGCTGGGTGGAAGTTCGGTTTTTCCAAGGCAGCGTATCTCAGGATCAGATGCTGGAGGCGAATGAAGTGCGCTGCTTGGAAGTTTCCTCCTCGGGAGTCTGCCACTGTCCCACGTTGGGCACCGCGTGGGCAGATCTTCTTCACCACAATAGTTAGGAACCGAGCCTTCCTTTCAACGAATAGTCGGCCCTTCAGTGCCTGCAATCGGAAGCAAACAACAGGTACAAAATGATGGCCTTGACATGGACACATAACGAAACGGATTTTATGCTGCCTAATTAAGGGGACCAAAGGTTCTCCTGGCAGTTTACATTGACAGATAAAAAGCATAAAATGCACAGATCAATAAAGCTGGCTAAAGGGATTGTTTTAGATTACGTACGACTCTCCGGATCTCCCAACCAGGAAAGTCACAGGCCATCCTGGTTGGGGGGACACAAGACTTGTAACGAGCATAAAATAGAAAGCAGAAAATCTAAAACCAGTAAAAGCAACAACAAGAGCAAGGCCAGGCTGAAAATAATTGACAGGGAAAAACAACTATGCAAAGATTTTTAAAAGGGTTATTAAAAAGCAGAACAATAAAGACTGATGGGTCTTAGAAAAATTTACCTGCTCAGGGGATCTTATGTGCTCCCAATCTACAGCAGTGTAGAGTTCTAGTATTTCCAAAAAAAACTGCTTAAAAGTAGTCTTGATTAATTTGGCTGTGTTTCATCCTAAAGAAAACAAAGCCAATCTGCACCTCACCCCTTGTATTAGTTTCATAGGGATGGCTTCCCGCAAAGAATCCTGGGAATTGTAGTTTGGGAAGGAGGTAGACCATCCCCCCCCCGAGCTTTCCCTTCAGAGAACTACCGCACCCGCGTTTTGTGGGAAGGACTGACACAGAGGGAGCCAACTCGGTGGCCTCCACCAAAACACCCCACCACCACCTTCCTTCCTCATTCTGCACTTCCCTCCCGTTTCCTTGTTGTTTCACTATATTGTCGGCATTTTGTCTTTGGGCTTCTTGGAGTTGCGGCCTATTTCCTGTAATGCAAGTTCCTGTGAAAAGTATTGCTCCCAGTGATGGCTGCCACACAAATTAATTCTGCCAAGAGCAAGCTCAGGTGGTGATGAAACCCAAAGAGGCCAGAACTTAGTTGACAGCATCATTAAGAGAGGAACAAAGGTCTCTGTTTATCCCAGCATGTGGTGGCACTGCGGGCTAAACCGCAGAAGCCTGTGCTGCAGGGTCAGAAGACCAGCAGTCATAAGATCGAATCCACGCGACGGAGGGAGCTTCCGTCGCTTTGTCCCAGCTCCTCGCCAACCTAACAGTTCGAAAGCTTGTAAATGTGAGTAGATAAATAGGTACCATCTTGGTGGGAAGGTAAAATGGCATTCCCTAGTCACGCTGGCCACGTGACAACAGAAAACTGTCTTCGGACAGACGCTGGCTCTATGGCTTGAAAAGTGGGATCAGCGCCGCCCCCTAGAGTCAAATGGGACTGGACTAAAAATGTCAAGGGGAACCTTTACTTTTACCTTGCCTCAATTTGCACGTGACAAATTAGATCACAGTTGTCGTTTGATTGCTTGTTGTTGTTTAGTCGTTAAGTCGTGTCTGACTCTTTGTGACCCCATGGTCAGGCCCTCCTGTCTTCCACTGCCTCCCGGACTTGGGTCAAATTCTTGTTGGTTGCTTACTGGGAGATAAAACATATTTGTGAGCCTGACTTTGATCTTGGTGCACATCGTTTTGAGAGTTGCAGCCCTTGAGCAAAAATTGTAATGCTCATTTTCCTTAATGTGTGATTTCATGCTGAGAAAGAAGAAAGAATCAGCAGGTGTGAGAGAATCCAAAATTAAAAAAAAAAACACCAAAAGTAAAAGGTGGGCAAAAAGCTGTCTAAAATTATGAATATGCTTAATGCTCATTAGAAGCCAAGAAATGACTGTCGACTAGAAAAAAAAAACAACTCAGGATGGGGGGGGGGTTGTACATCAATTGGGATATTTGACCCCTAAGGACTTACAGTGTCCAGGTGAAAAGTGCGATTGCCCCGGGACCTTGAGCTTAAGCCACCCTTGTTAGACAGAGAGAACAGATTGCAAAATTTTGTTTCCAGTCCTCTTTAAAAAAAACCCATCAGAATTAAGCCTGTTGAAATAATTATGCAGACTAACCACTTTGGAATTAATTTCAGAATCCCTCAAACGCTCACCACTGCGTAGGTGTGGGCCTCAGTTCCAACAGTTTGTTTCTCCCAACAGCACATGGCCAAGCAGAGAGAGAGAGGTTTAATCCTGCCTTTTCCCTCCAGCCAGGCAGCAGCCAAATGGTTAAAAGAAAAAAACAAACCCGTGTGAAGTTGATAAAATGCCAGAGTCTTTCTTCTTCTTCTTCCTCAGGGAGGTTGGTGAGGGGGAAGCCAGGAGGCTGCTCTGGAAAATGTCATCAATAAAAACTGCATTTAAATGGTATATGATGTAGCTGGGCTACCGTGGGCAGAATTATATGCACTCAGATGAAAAAGGGCCTTAAAGCACCCATTGTCCATAAAGAGGAGAGAGGGGGTGTCTTAGTGATCACTCAGATGAAAAAGGGCCTTAAAGCACCCGTTGTCCATAAAGAAGAGGGGGGGGTGTCTTAGTGATCTGGAGGAAAAGGGGGCTTTTTTGCCTCCTCCTGCTCTCCCCCCCCCCAAGAGGTGCCTCCTGCTCTCCATCAGTATCAAAGGTGAGCATGGCTGACGGGAGACGGAGGAGCAGCAGAAGGAGGCCCCTCAGGCAGCGGGATCGCCACTTGATATTCAGGATATGCTGTCCTTTCCCCCTTTGTTTCTCCCCGAACCTGTATCTGACAGGCATCTCGTATAAATGTGCAATACAGAGTGAGGAGGCTTGGGGGTGCAGCCGCAAAGGGGCTAGGCCAGGGACCCCCGTCGGTTTCCGTGCTCTTGCCACACCTGCCTCCAGACATGCCAGGCTGCTTACTAAGACCCTCAGCGGGCACCCTTTCCAGGCGGCTTGTCCGAGATGGGCAACCTATGCCTGTTCAGTGGTGGTGAAATTTCAAGACAGGGATGAAATCATACTCTTGGGCATCTTGACGCCTGCTTGTAACGATTTTGGCATCAAGTAAATGTCTTTAAAAACAAACAAACATTGTGGCACCTTAAAAGACGTACAGGTTAATTTCAGGGTGAGCTTCTTATGATGGCGGTCGACTTCTTTGAACACCTCAATGAACTGTAAACAGAAGCTTGGGCTAAAATAAATCTTTTGGTCTCCAAGTTGTCCTAACTCTTGTATTTTTGTGGCATCTGCTGGAATGGGCCAGCGCCGTGACCTCATTCCATCCTTCTCTTGTGCACAAGAGGATCGACTCTTGCAATCAAAGCTGTACTTCACTGCCGTGTGTGGCTTTTACAGATTGCTGCTCTTAAAATCAGCTTTGCTCCGTTCTTCATGACCTTCCTTCCTTTGCCCTCAGATTATTCTCAATTCGATGCACAAATACCAACCGAGACTGCACATTGTGAAGGCGGATGAAAACAACGCATTCGGTTCCAAGAACACGGCTTTCTGCACACACGTGTTCCCAGAGACCTCCTTCATATCTGTGACATCGTACCAGAATCACAAGGTGGGTGGCACTGTAGCCTCTCCCTAGGGGTGGGGTGGTGGGGAAAAAGCAGTTTTTTCTTTGGTGCATTGGGTGAGAGGAAGGCATAAGCCTCCATATGGTGACGTGTCCGCCAGCGAAGAGTTAGCTTCCGCCGCTGGTCCCTCTGCCCAGCTAGAACGGTCATCAGATCACAAGCTGGGGTTGGTCTCTTCTATGCTGAAAACAAAACTAGGAGAGAGACCTATCTTGTTCTTCTGGTGCGCTTGTACAACCGCATTGCCTTCCAATTCCATTTTAACATCGTACCAGAATCACAAGGTGGGTGGCAGTTCTTCTGGTGCGCTTGTGCAACCGCATTGTCTTCCAATTCCATTTTAACCCCTTTCCCCCTTTCTTCCCTCCCCCCTTTGCTGACAAAACTAAGATTCTGGGTTGTTGAGAAGTGAATTATTATTCTGGAAGAGCAAAGGAGTAAAGGTAACTATAGCAGAGGATTTTCAGGCTTTGAAATGAAGGGCACTCATGACACAGATAATAAGACTGGAAGACATGAACTTGTGAGATTGTCACCCAAGCACATAGTGCTGTGAATTTCGGGGTTTTAGAGGGACTCTGGGCCTCCAGAATAAACATGCATCTTGTGATGCTGTTTCTTTTGAAAGATAAGAGTGTTAACACGGAACTTCAGGTATATATTCAAACCATCTGGTTAAGTGTGAGATTACAGATAGTGAGCGAGGCTGAGGGGAAATTAAACACCCGAAGTCCTGATAGTGAGAATTACAAATATTGGCTGTTCACCAAACTGGTACTGATAAAGCCAACATACTGACACTAAGTAAGCCAGCGCGCGCATGCAGTGTATCTACTTGGAATTCTGGATAATACTTCATACATCTGATGAAGTATGAGTTGTGTTCCAGGGAAATTGACAATATAATGCACTAATTGATCCTTAAAAGTTCCAATGAACCGTTGTTTCTCCTTAAAGAAAAGTCTTTAACTTTTGGAATAATATTGGAGATGCAGAAGCAAAGAAATTGTAAGCAAGATGGGGTATCTGTGGGCCCCAAACTTGTGACAATGAGCTGGGCCAGCAGCTGGGCCGAGGCCCGTCCCCCCCCCCCGTCCATTGGTTTGTTCAACTTTGCAAGGCACTGCCCCCCCCCCCCAAAAGCCTGGTGTTTGGAAAAGATGACACAGTGGAACCCTTCCCTTGATGCAGAGCCAAAATAGGCGACTCTTCTTCTTCAGTTGAGGGGATTAAATGGTAGGGGTTGTGCTGTCATGTCATTACAAGAGAGGAGGAAGGCCATCCCACCCTACCCATCCCGTCCCCCCCGTCCACCCCATGGGCACCAGCCACCACTGGGGGTGAAGACAGGTGGAGGGGAAGTGGTTCTCGGCTGCTGCAGGGTGCGTAAGACTTGAGCTTTTGGGGGCAACGTGGCTGTGGGGGCCCCTCGGGCGATACAGCCGGGCATTCGAGTACCTGAACCGGGTGATTTATCACAGTGCAGGCTGTGAGCTGAAATTCTCTTTTGTACACACCCACCCACGCCTGGCTTTGCTAAAGCCCACTGGATATGGCCCAGAAGAGGAAGCAAAGTGTGCTGGGTTTTTGGTGTGTGTGTGTGTGTTTTTTTTAAAGTATTTTTGGCAGTTGCCGCCAGTCCAGCAAGAAATGAATCAAAGGCCATAAACTCTCAGATGTCATTCAAAACAGCAACCAAACCTAATAATGACTGGTAAAGCCTAGCCATAAATCTACAGTGAAAAGTAATTACGGTATATGTATTTAGGGAGACATACAAGGAATGTTACTATAAAAGCAGAGTTAAGAGACTGCCTTGCAGTCAGAACATGAAGGAAAAGAAGGATTTTTGCAGTGGGCGTGGAAGAGAGAGCAGGACAGACGAGGAGCGCAGAAAAAGAGTTTCAGTTCTTGTCCTTTTGGTGGGTTTTCATATAATTTGTGAGTTTGTTCTGATTGTACACGTGAGGGCAAACTGTGGATTTTCACACCGGCCCGGGTTGTATGTGTGCCATCAACTACTCCACAACACACAAAGCAGCGATGATCAGTAAACTTGCAGGGTCTATTTTGATGTGTGTTTTCCAACCCCTAAGAACGATGCTCCAAATTACTGTGTCTTAATACAAAGATGCACATTTAGAACCAAGGAAGAGCCATTTTGACACCCATTTAGCCTGATAATGTTTTCAGTATGAATAGTGAGTACCACAATTTTTTTAAACCCCAAATTTAATTTCCTCAGAAGAGGTTTTGGATCCAGCAGTCTTAGTTTGGGAGGGGGGACATCAAATAAGTTTTTTCTGAGTCAAAACACCTTACAAGCCTGTTACAGACTACTCAGATCTACGTGTCACAAAGCTGCCGGTTGATTCCTCTCCTCATCTCATGATGAAGCTGAAAAACATTTGCTGCAAAAGAAGCCATGTGCAACAACCGGGTAGCATTGAGTCTTGTGAAATCTGTGCCAGAAGCTGGGGGCTGCAAGGGGGGCGTGGGGGCCCAGATAAAGAAGAAAGGCTGTCTGAAAGAGAAGCGCCCACGATCAAGGAAAGCATGAACGGGCGCTCCCGTCCTCCTGCGGTCTTTAACTTGCTTAACCTATAAGGCAAGGTTGTCAGTTGTGAAGTGAAGCTATCCAGAAGCAGGTTTTCCTTGAGTGGCTTTATGGAGAGAGATCACCTTCAGGTCTCACTTAAAATGTCAGTAGTAAGGAGAGGGTCATATTTCTGCACAAATGACCCGGAGATGTACGGGTTTCTCAGCACCCGGGCTTCAAAGCTCCTTCCCTCATGATGCCATTCACAAACGGGGCCTGTTTGTTGGCTTTGTTCAGTTCCCGGGGCTGAGGAAGCCTCTCCTCCCCTTCATAACTGAACTACCGTTCCGGTAACCATCTGCTGCACCAACCAACCAAAATAGGAAAAAGGAGTCTGGCGCAGACTCTGATATTATTACTATCAGCAGACTTTTAAACTGCCTTTTCTGGACAAAGGATTCTTGTGAATTACGACAGCACATTCGTAAGAGCAACAAAGCTGAAGTGAATTTTTTTACCCCTCCTGCAGAGCAGTCCAAGAAGTCCAGAATTCCCCCTTAGCATGGAGCCGCTCCCAAAGGGAATGAAATTCACTCTGGGGTGACCCACCCTGTGGCCAGTTTGAACAGTGATGTATTTATTTATTCTGTCTGCAAAGGGTGGTCTGGCAACTAGGAGAGCATATTGTTTTAAATTTGAGCACGTTGCCACTACAGCACCAGAAACGAGGGCCTCGTTCCCCTGGGCTTGCGCAGACGGCAGAGCGGGGACACTCTCTGTGAACCTTGGCTGCAGACGTATAGGTGCAGCGTGACGGCATGTCCCTAGGCCGGTTATCTGACAAAGCTGGCAAGCGCGTCCTTAATAGCTGCATGTAACAGTCTGTCCATCTTGCTTGCGCCTGTTGGCTTGCTTATGGGCATTTCGAGTGAGGTCCCTGCAAACCTCTGCCACTGCAAAGCATCTGTTCTGGGATATTAGTAGAATCCTGCAACTGCCACATACAGTAATTTGGGGTCAGCAGAATATCGACTGACTCTATCAGAAGGGATTAAAAAATGTCTGCACTTATTAAGAATCTAGTTATCCAGCATTCTTAAAGAGGGACAACAGTGTGGCAAACTGTGATTCCAAGGGTGGAGTTATGGGTACCTTTGGTAGAATGCAGGATCTGCTCCTATCCCTAAACCTACAGTCTGGGGGAGACTTTACCTTTTGTCTCCAGCAGCAAAATATCTTGGGTCTGCCCCAGATGAGAAACTGCCTTACACCAAGATCAGACCCTCCATTTACTTAGCTGAATGACTGTAGACCATTTTGGCAGGTCTGGTAACCAATCTGAGCTGAATCCACCTGCTGCTGCATGCTCCTTTCCTTCGGCAGTGGGACTCTTTCCCCTTTTCCGTGTCTAGAAAGCGGGTGGATTTTTGGCCTAAAACAAGGCACGCGAGGGTGATGTTCCTTGTTTAAATGAGACATGCCGGTTCTCCTCTAAACCGAAGCGCCTCTCTGCTGTGCACCTGGTCTTAGTTCCAAAGGGGGCTCGCTTCACTGCCCAGCCATCCAGACAACGGGGGCGGCCAGAATAGGTGGATTGTGGGCGTGTTCCCCGTCCCTCGTCTGTACCCAAGAGCAGCTGTCCAAGGTTCTGGCTGAGAGCCCTTCCCAGTCGGGCCTTCTAGAAATGTCAGATCTGTAGCTGTTTGCAGGTAGAGAAAGGACTCGGCCACCGAGCGGTCTCTCTTGGCCGAACTGGGAACCGTGATGGAAGTGTGTGGTGTTTTTCCCCCCACATCCCCCTGCCCCAAACAACCTCTGTTCCAGGGGCCTGCAGGTCTGGGTGCCTCGAGTGCCCAAGAAAATTTTTTTTGAAGAAGAATCATCGCAGTTTTTCCTGCACATAATGTAATGCCAGGGCTTGGTAACTTAAATCTGGCAAGTTGCCATTATGGTGATAATATCATTGGTTTGACTAAAATTCTGCACAGCTTGGAGGAATAAAGGGTGCTGGAAAGCCAGAATATTGTAATTTCAGAGTACTGGAACTACAAAGAGTGCAAGCCATAGGGCCCACAAATGTCGCCTCCCATACTTTGCATATAATGTCAGGAACGTCTTGTGACAGTGACCTTGCTCAGCTGGAGAGCCTGCTAATTGTTTTGCAATGACTGTAGTAAACCATTCAAGCCTCAATTTTAAAAGCACTTTCATTTTCAGGGCTATTTTTTTCTATACTCACCCCTAATGCTTTTAATTCTCTAGAAACAATACATTTCACCCCTTGGCATAAGAGGTCATTCTGAGTACTGCTGAGCTTAAGAAGCTTTTGGCCCAGACTTTTGGAGTAATAGGGACACAACTGTACCTTCTGGAGATTGGCTGAGGATTCCTTATCCCCTAATTTTTTATCCTCCCATGCCCTGAAAACAAAAAAATCTGCCATCAGCCACCTGGAGCCTATTTTGTGTCTCTGAAAGAGAAATCTTCCCCAAGGTCATAACATGTGATTTTCCTCACCTCCGTATCTTGTATCTACCATGTGGCTGCTGAAAAGGATCACTATCAAGCCCTAAATGGCTTGGGTCCAAGTGATCTCAAGAAGTGTATCTCCCTTTATGAGCCTGCCTGGGTGTTAAGATCATCAGGGGAGGCCTTTCTCTCAGTCCCACCACCTCCTTGAGTTTGTTTGGTGGGGACACAGGACAGGGCCTTCTCTATGGTTGCTCCTGGACTTTGGAACTCCCTCCCACTGGAGGCCAGGCTGGTCCCATCTTGGCTGTCTTTCTGCAAGCAAACCAAGACCTTTCCCTTCAGGTTTTCCCTTAATGACTGGCAGCCTGAGTGGGGTTTTTAATGGATGTTTGTGCCTTTCTGCTTTGAATGTATTATGGTATTGCTTATGTTTTTTGTATGGCATTTGTTTGACCCTTTTTACTGTGTTTCCCCGAAAATAAGACAGGGTCTTATATTAATTTTTGCTCTAAAAAACGCAGTAGGGCTTATTTTCAGGGGATGTTTTATTTTTTTCATGTACAACAATTTACATTTATTCAATATATTTAACGTCATCTTCTGGTTGGTGCACAATGGTGGAGGGCGGGGATTTAGGGCTTATTTTCAGGGAAACAGGGTAGCATGTGCATATTCACTGTTGTTAGCTTTTATATTGTCTTTTAATTGTTGTAGGCTGCCTTGGGTCCTTTTTAACGAGAAAGGCGGGTTAAATATGAATGAATGAATGAATGAATGAATCCAGGTTTAATTTGTAAGTTTGATTGTTGTGGTGCAAATCTCTGAGGAAACCCTGTTGTGGAAGGGGAACATGGGTTAGTTACAGGCAGTGTGTTGCAGGGAATCAGATTTGACTAAAAGAGGGAAGAGCTGGACCCCTTGTTCACAAACCCAGGGGCTCATCTGTTTTATTTCCCTTCTCTTGCAAGATAACACAGCTGAAGATAGAAAACAACCCGTTTGCCAAGGGCTTTAGGGGAAGTGATGACAGCGACCTGCGTGTAGCAAGATTACAAAGGTGAGGCTGAAGGGAACAGAGACAGAAATCTGTGAAGTGGGCTAAAATAAGTAAACAGAGAAAGCCAAGAATTAAACCAAGTTTTCCAAGTTGGATTTCAAAGACTTTTCCAGGGCACACACAAACTTTTTATCATTCTATCCCTGTTGAAGGAATGGTATACTTTTCTGAAACATGGCAGGAGAGAGAGGGGATGTTTTAATAAACAGAGGCACTTTTAAGAACTTTGTTCATCTCTTGGCGTTGTTTGATCTGTTTCCAGTGCTCTCCCTTCTCCCCCCTCCCCTGCTTAAAATCAGGACAAGGATCTCTCCCTAGACATGGTTTGCCCTTCCTTTCCCAAGGGGGCCAGAAGTGGGTAGGGGAAAAGAGATGCCTCGTGTCATGATTTTTTGCAATAAGTGTTGGAAGTGGCTGCCACATGGGTCGTCATAACTGGACATGTTGTGCCACAGTTCCAGTGGCTCGTCCTGCACTCGAGCAGACCTGTTCAGTCAATATTTGAGTGGTAAGCTGACACTTGGGGAAACCCCACTGATTCCATGGCTTCACTCTAGTGGAAACTAGCTTTGGATCCAGTGGGGCTGAGTGATAGCTGAATCTTTCTGTGCGGTTCTTTTTGAATCTCTAGTTTGTCTAGTCCTGAATATTGGGGTGGGGAAGTTAATATTGATCAAATCAAAACCAAATTGAGGTAAAATTCACATTGCCCCTTACAGTACTTTCCTGTTGTCTGCAATGGCGTGGCACAACCACCAATAGCTCTCATTGGGGGGGGGGTTATCTTCTCCTCTGGCTAGATGGTGCCCTCTGATTCGGTGCACCAGATTCTGCTAGATTGGATCTTCTACAACGGGCAAGCCCATTTACTGTCCTTGGCAGAAGTAGGCAATCCTAGGGCGCAGGCCAAGGGCACCCACCCACAGATCTAGGACTGAGCTGTCATTTCGAGCCCGGCTCTCACAGGCTGAGGAGGAAACTTAGCACAGCTATGTTTGCTTGAAGATGACTTCGACCTTGTTCCCCAGGATCTCTGGGTTAAAAACGAGACAGGTAATGGGCAAGACTGAAGTTGGAGGCTCTGAGTAGCTGCTGGATGTCAGTGTGGATGGTAGTCAAGGTCTGGAAATGTTAGGGCCTACTTAGGTGGTCTGGACCACAATTCCCACAAACCCTTTCTCCTGGCTGTGTTGCCTAAAACTTCTGAGACTTGAAGTTCAAAACATCAGTCGAGATTTTTAAAATTCCACCTTCATCCTTCAGGGTTTTGGTTTGTGATTTTTGCTATTTTTGGGTTTTAAAATTAAGATGTTAGCCACCCTGAGTGCCTATGAAGTAAGGGAAATCAATGAATAAGTAAATCAGTCACTGCTCATGCTGCAGCTACTAATGAGAATGAGACCAACAACTATATCAGTGCCTTTGTCCAGATGAATCCCTGAAGCCGTCATTATCGGTTTATGTTGGCAGTAAAGAGTACCCCGTCATCTCCAAAAGCATCATGAGGCAAAGGCTGGTGTCCACTCACGGCCAGCTCTCCGGGAAGTCGGACGTCGGCTCGCTTCATGGGAGTCACCAGGGCCTCCAGCACTACCAGTACGAGAACGGCGGCCACATGCAGTTTGCCGCCTCGGACGCGCAAGACCTGCCCCTCAACACCTTTGCGGCGCAGAGAGAATCGGGGCTCTTCTATCACTGCCTGAAGCGACGAGGTAAGGGTCTCCTCGAGAGAGGGAGCCGAACATGAAGCCGGTGGGGGGGGACTTCCAGGGCAGGGGGTGCAGTGCCCGTTGTCCGAGGACGATGGCAATCTTACTGCATCTCTAGGGATGGGAAATAAACAAAGGATGGCCCTGACTGGCTGTGAACTTCCTGGGGTGGGATATCTCAGTCACTCTGTCTCTTTAACCCATGGACCCTGAGAGAGCTTTGAGATTTACAACAGGAAAGGTACAAGAAATGCCAGAAAAGGGCCTACAGATACAGCATGGCAATACAAGCAGTAACAGCAAGCAGTAGGGCATGACCGTTATGCCATTAGTCTCTAATATGAGAGACCGCATTAGATTTAATTGGATACGCTCCTTCGCTCTTCAGAATCCTTATCTGATAGTGCAGGATCAACCCTGTCACCCTAAATACCACTCCGATGCAGAAATGCCCCACGGACTCTCTGGGGTTAACTTTTGTATAACTGCGTTTAGGATTGGACAGTAAAAGACTTTGGAAACGTGTGGCTTTAACGTTAAATGAGCCAGGTGGCAATCCGGTGGGTAAGAAGGACAAAGCAAGCCGTTAATCGTTCCATTCAGCCAATTTAATTCTCTGGCAGAGATTCATTAATACTGTATGCTGTAATTTATATGCCACTTCCGACTGTAAATATTAATCGGGGCTTCTTAATCGTAGAATAGAAATGCTCAATCAGGAAAGGCACCATGGAATACAATCTTCTGCCAGTGGCCAGAGCATTATCTTTGCAAGATGGCTCCATCTTTTTGACATTAACTCCTGCCAGACTCTCTTTTAGAGAGCTTCAAGACCCCGTGAACCTGTCAAGAGCAAAAATACTAAAGCGTTGCAGTTTGCTTATGATTGAGATGAATTGAAAAGCAATCTACCGGCTGCAGGAAAGCAGTAGGCCAAAGTCCTTTAAACTTTCAAATGCTTCAAATTAAGATTGATGGGATTAGCTGGGTGCTTGCCAGGCCTTGCCTTTTTGCTAATAAGTGGCATCTTTCAGAACATGAGATAATTGGATTAGGTGGGAAGGGAAGGCCAACACTGAGTCTCCATAAACCACTGACCACATCAGTGGTGTTTTGTGGGCCTCTGCTGAAGCAGATCTTGGAAGCAACTAGTTATAAAAACTGGTTACTTGAAATGAATGCTTTTTTTGCAAAATCTAACTGTAGTAATTAAGTTACATTGCACATGTAAGGACTAATTTCTGCAGTGTATTTTTTGTAACTTTTATGGTGGCGGGACTGTGGCTTCATTTAATGATAGAAGTGGCATACAGTCAACTAAAAAGGAAGCATTTAATGTACAGTGCCCAGAAATAGGAAAGAAGAAGATACTCTTTTAAAAAGTAAAACTACTTACTGAATCTTTGAATCAACTCCTTTTTAGAAGTAAATTTCTGCACTCTGTTGACCCAGCTGAAATCATTGGCCTTAGTTGCACCACCGTCTCTGTTAAGACTGATATAGCATCCTGAGTTGCACCACCGTCTCTGTTAAGACTGATAGCATGCTGATAGTCAGCACGGATACCAATGTGCTGATCACCATGTTGTCAGGTTTGCTTCTACATTCCCAGGAGGGAGAAATGTGTTAGTTTGCTTTGGAGACTTTAAAAAGGCGTTTCCCCAGGATTTTAAGACCAGTTCTTCTTTTCTGTACCTGCGGTCGACGTGATTAAGCGAATCTTGTGCAGGGGAACAGGGGCGGGGGGGTGGGGAAGCCTGGCCTGTGCTGGGCTCTGTGTCACCAAGTCCTCCCTTTGTTTGCGTGTCCACAGAAGGCGCCCGGCATCTGGACCTGCCCTGCAAGCGTTCTTACCTGGATGCCTCTTCTTCTGTCGGGGAAGAGCACTACTTCCGGTCACCCCCTCCGTATGACCAGCAAATGCTCAGCCCCTCCTACTGCGGCGACGTGACGCCGAGGGAGGCCTGCATGTACTCTGGCTCGGGTGCCGACATCGCTGCCGTCTCCTCGGTGGAAGACCTGCCTCCCCCTCCTCCCCCACCTCCTTTGAGCTGCAATATGTGGACCTCGGTTGCACCTTACACCAGCTACAGCGTTCAGACAATGGAAACGGTTCCCTACCAGCCCTTCCCAGCCCACTTCACCGCCACCACCATGATGCCGCGCCTTCCGACCATCACAAACCAGAGCGCCCAGCCGCCGGGCAACAGCCCCTTCGCCGTCTACAACCAGCTCTCGCAGTCTCAGGTCCGGGAGAGAGTCCCCCCGTCGTCCTTCCCCAGGGAAAGGGTGCACCCCTCTGTGTGCGAGAGGAAGCCCCCCTCGCCCCACTTAAGCACGGCAAATGAATTTCTGTACTCACAGACCTTCTCGCTCTCCAGAGAGTCCTCTCTGCAGTATCATTCAGGGATGGGGACAGTGGACAACTGGACGGACGGATGACTCTGTCCGCCGGGCGGCAGCAGACACAAGAATTGCGGCGGGACTAACTGCTCCGGGACAATGTTTGCTCAGTGTTTAAATACCTGTGGGTAACTTGCACTTCCGTGACACCTACAGAAAAACCTGCATTTCCATTGGGGGTTTGTGTAGCCACGAAGCTCTGTCCAAGATAGAACCCAGCTGAGTTTTGGAAGGGTGGAGGGAGAATCCAGTCGTGCGTCTAAAGGGACTTCGGGCTCAGTGGCTTGGACCCATCAGTCATATCTGTCTGGTCAAATATTTGCCTTCTAGAGAAACTCTCCCTTGTTTAATTCATGGCAACCCTTATTTAAAAAGAAAAAAGAAAAGAAAAGAAAAAGGAAGGAAAGCAAGCAAGTCTTCCACACACACAGGCCATTCAGCAAAGGGCCCCCTATGTATTCTACCATTTTGCAGACGGGAGTCAGAGAACACAGAACACAGAGAGAGCGAGGGTGTGTGTGTGAACAGAAAATGCAGTGTACGGTCCCAAACGTTCCTAACGCAGATTCAATACACATATCCAAAGTTGTCTCTAACAAGGGCCGGGCCAAATTGGTTCAGTTCCAGAGGGTGGATATTGACCCTCTTGTAGGACAATTATTTTCCAGTAGAGCAGTGTGTGCTTCTTAACACCTGCTCACCCCACCCCAGGCTATTTAAAAACCTCTCTCCTTCCACACAGTGACCGGGGTGCGTGGGATTTCTTGGGGTGGCTGTCAGTTAGCGGAGCTCGCTCTCCTCCCAGAAGATCCTGGGGTGGCAGAGGGTGGCGCACTTAGATCTAGCACCACCTCAGCATCTTTGAGGAGGAAAAGGCCCCAAGGCCTTCCTCATCTGTCATGGTAACAAGCCAGGGGCTGCTTGGTCAACGGTAGGATGGAGAAAACCGTCACGCAGCTACCAGTGAAAAAAATAGGGATTCATTCCTATTAATAATTAGTACAATGTTAATAAAGGCCTGAACAAAGATTGTCCCGTTATTAATAAGTGGATTACAGAGCTGAATTTGCCTAGGCCAGATAGATAAACAGAGAACACAACTCTTGGATTGTTGCAGACAAAAATCTCCCCATAAGGAATCACCGGAATTGCTGCCAGGGGAACCGGGCGCTCCCGCAACTCCCCTTCTTTCAGGGAAGCGGACCTTGAGGGCTAAAAGAGCACAAAACAACAACAACAACAACCCTGGCTTGACTTGAGTCTTGCCCCTCTTGCTTCAGGACGGCACCCCATGGCACTAGGAAGCCAGGCTTTGCTGCCAAAAATTGCCGCCCTTGTGCCCTCCCCTCGGCTGTCTTCCATTGTACAACTGGGCACGTGGCCTTGCTGGGCTACAGAGGAAGGCTTCGGTGGTAGCCAAGTCGGCGTTAGGTGGGGCATAGGGCACCGTTGTGAGGGCCGCTGGCCTCAAAGTTAAGTAACGATGTGATGGATTGCCATCTTGACTGTCAGTTCTGTGGGCCTGCCAGCGTAAAACACCAACCCTCCAAAAGATGACCCCAGTATCACAAACCTGTTAACATCCTTTGATTCCTGTTCCTTTGATTCCCCCTGCAGTCTTGTTGTGTAGCTGAAATAGCAATGAAACGGCAAGGGTTCTTGAGATGGTAGAACATATTATTGCACCTCTGAGTATAATTGAGGGTGTTTGCCGTTAGAAAAGAAACACCATGGAAAGGAACATTAAAAAATTCCCTGCAAGTAGAAAAAATCAGCACAGCAAAGAGCAGGACTCTGTGCTTTTCCCCTGATACGCTATTTTTCCCATGCAGTAAAATATAATTAAAAGCAAACCAGAGAGATGTGTTGAGAAATGGCATCAGCCTATTTGCAGGGAACGTAGGAAGGTGCCTTACACCAAGCTTGCCCATCTCCTGTCTACTGAGACTGGCTTCCCCCTCCCATCCTGCGTCTCTGACAAAGCAAACGGCACCCAGCACCTGCAACTTGTTTTTTTCTTTTCTTAATTGCCAATTCCAGGGACTGAACCCAAGACCAGCCATGGTCAATGCACCCTCAATGGCTCAACTGCTCTTCTCTGCCCTGTGGCTGTCAGCCTCTGGTGCTCTAAAGGTCTGGGACCTTCAGTGCTGTCCTGCCCAGAGCGGCTAGGATCGGAAGGCCAAAGGCTGAGAATCACAGGGCAGGACTCTGCCACCTCATTCCCCTGCCCCAGGAGATCAGGACTGAGTAAAGATCAGGGGGTGGGAGGGAAGAAGGAGTTCAGTGGGTGGTGGAACAGGTCATACCAATGATAACAGCTCAACAGTGTTAAAAGCTGCAAGACGGGGGGGGGGCTGGAAAGTTAGTTTTTTGGATGACAGCTTCATGGCTATGGGCCCCGCTGGCTGGGGATTCTGGGTGTTGTCATCCCAGAAAGTAATTTCTCGAGTTTCTGGACCGTAGCATTCCAGGTTGTCTCTGGGCTCCGCACAAAGCTAATGAGGAGGAAGTCAAACTGAACTAACCCAAGCAACCTTAGGACCTCTTAAGAATCCACACAAAAACATCTGCCAGGAGCCTATTGCTGAATTCCTGCCTGGCCCAGACTGGTTCTCTCTGTGACAAAAAGAGGACAAGCTACCGAGAGGTTTATTGAGTGGTGGGTCCACGCCAATGAGCAGGGCTGGGAAAGGGAGATTCTCCCCTCCCTGCAATACAGAGGCCAATTTAGAAGTTTATTTATCATTTGGAACCACCATACAGTCATTCTTGCTCAACTGTATGCATGGCTGGTTTGGGGTTTTGTAATCAGAGTTGGGAAATCACTACAAGTGTTGCATGCGAATAGTTATTTATATATATCTATATATATATAATTATATATCTCTCTCACAAATGCAGGCCCACATCTTCCATTCAGCTTTGCTCTTAAAAAAAAAACCAACAACAAAGTGCCTAATAAAATAATGAATGTTGCAAGGGACATTTTTTTAAAAGACAACTATTTAAGATTTTTTTTAAAAAAAACATACACCTTTTTGTGATGTAAAAACTAAGAGTTGGTTAGATGAAACATATATACTAAAGATAAATCTCTATTAGAATCCACGTTAGATAAAAGGCAATGTGGCCCGTTTTTTTTAAGGCTTTGTTACGTATGAACATTTTATTTTACATATCAGAACATAAAAAAAATTACTCCTATAAACTGTCTCTGGATGGCTTTCAATAATGTGCACACCTTTCGTGGGTAGAATTGCTCACCAATTCTTCAGCTAGGATGGGAACCTTTGGACTTCAGATGTTTGGCCAGATGCTCTCATTATATGTCACCCTCTGTCAAGCTTAATTTCCAGAATCCATTCATTGGAAATGTCTAATGCTGTGTACCGCCGGGTTCTATGGAGGCCTTGGCACCAGATTAAATACCCACAATATGGCACAGCAATGCACCGTTAGAGGCATGATAATCCCCCCCCCCAAAAAAAGAGGCTGTTACTTTGGTGTTGATTGTGGGAGGCTTGTTGGTGTTCCCTGTCTAGAGGCCAGTAAGGAGATCTCCATATATTTTTCAGCCTGAGCCAGAACAGCAAAGCTCATCCCAGCTAAATCCAGGTGTGCTGATCTCAAAAGCAACTAGCTACAAATAAGAAAGTAATTATTACAATGTAAAAGTGTGATCATTAATTCCTTTTTTTGTAACAACTGAGACATAAACTAAGGTTATGAGTATGACTTCCTAGAACAGGAGATAACACACCGCTTTTTGTAACGTGCGAGGATCCTCGTTTCATAGTTTCATGGGGTGGCCTCCATACCTAGGTACGGTTCGTGCTGCAGGTGAGCAACGCCTGGAATTCTTGTGATTTTAAAAAGAAAAAGGTCACTTCTGAACAGAAAAAAAAAAAAGGAGTAGTAATAGTAGCCTGGACTGGACTGCTTTTAAAAAACTGCAAGTATAACTGACTACTCTGGGGGTCTTGGAACTACAACCACCTACTTTTAAAAAGTAACTTCCAAACTTGCATGCCTAAAGCAAAACATACAGCTAGCCCCTGTCCCCACACTGCTCTGGCAAGCAAAATAAAATGGGTTGAATTTAGAACCAGCTGTTAAAAGTCGCAGTGGTTTTCTGACTAAAGTTCTAGTTATGTTAAAGGGTCTGCTCTTAGTTGTGACCACATCTGCATCCAGCCAAGAAATAAGAAATTAATGAGTGTTTTAGAAAAGCCTTTTCATGGTGCTAAAATCTGCTCCTCGAGGCAGTCGTCCCGCTGCCCAAAGGGCTTAAGGAAGGCCTTCAGATTCCCCCAGGAGGCCGCAGGTGAGACTCCCGACTTTGCTTCTGAAAAATCTCCTGAATCCTGGATCCAGTAAACGTGATCTGGGGCTGAGGAGCGTATTATAGGGAAAGATCTACCCTGGTGAAAAGCCCTCTAGAAATAACAAATAAGGTTCCCTGAGACAGAAACGAGATGGAGCCACACAACTACAGTAGTTTTCCACATGGTTGTGTCTTTTTTTTCCCCCCAGGATGATGATGATGGTGATGGCTTCTATTTTATCCTGGCTTACCTTCAGTGTGCTTAAGCTAATGTGCGTGGCCCAGCCCCTCACAACGCCCGTGTGAGGCAGCACAAGGTCCAACGGGAGTGTGTGACTGACTCAAAGGGACTCGTGGTGCTTTATGGTTGAGTGAGCGCTTGATGCTTGGACTCCTAAATCCTAGACTATCAGTTCCAGCCACTGCAGCGCCTGAACATAGGAAGATTTCCATGTGAGGGAATCGGCAGCCACGAGGTGCCCAATCTTGGTGCTTCTGAATACTTCCACCATATGGATGATCGTGCTCCATGAGCTGGATGTCAAAAAAGGGCCACACTGGCAATAAGAGTTGATTTTGTTCCTCTTCAGTGCAGTCTGGGCTGCACCGGGATATAATTAATCTGAATTTAAATATAGCTCATGGAGAGCAGTTTGATTCAACAGTGACTAGAACTGGCAAAAAAAAAAAGCTATTAGATCGGATGGCACTCATCAGAAAAGTTACTTTGGCCAGTTGGAGCCAGAAAGAGCTGCTATTTTAGAAACGCAACTGAAACTGCAAATATGAAGAGCATTTTGTTGGAAAGGTCCAGAACTTTGCAAACTTTACAATAATGGCGAGTTTAGAAGTAAAAATGATTCAGAATTCATTGTGCCCCGTGGCTAAATACCCAGAGGCTCCTTATTTGTGATTCAACTTCCATTTCTGGTGAAAACTAAGATAGCGTGTGGTAGATCAGCTTGGTTTTCTTTTTAAAGTCCAATGACTATGTCTATTTTGGTATGAGCACCTTTATGCAAGGAAGGAGGGTCTTTATAGGGTCTCTGTGTTCTGGAGAGCCCTGGCTGGGAATTCTGGGAGATGTAGTCCAAAAAAGTAATGGCTCAAAACTCAGACTCTGCCTGACTCTCTGCATAAACATTGTGGGTCTATTTATGACCCAGGAATCAGGGTGAGTAAAAGCCTATTTATTGGAAAGACGCTCCTTGCCTTCTTAGGTCTTGAGAGTGGAATTGGTATTTCCAACACTGGCCTTTTTCTTATTGGTGTGCTACCCCTGGCTGTTCATTTCCTTTGGCACCCATGGCTTTTCTACCAATATTGGATTTGGCCCCCTCTTTCTGTAGAACAAATATTATAGCAGATTGCCGAGGACCTATACGTCATGTTAAAATAAGCCAGCAATTAAAGAAACTAAATTTAATCCATGGATTGGCAGGGGTGGGGGTGGGGGGAGGAAGAAAAGAAAGAAAGAAAGAAAGATGGATTTGCTAGCACTGGCAATTCTTGTGTTCAAGAAAGGCCAACATCTGGAATTTAAAAAAAGTGTTCTTTCTGGCATGGATATTTTCTTCTGAAGGAGGAGAGGGTCCTTTTCTCTCTCTTTTTCCACTTTCTGGAAAATATGGGCTGCTCCGCATGACTTTTATTATGCCATTAAATAATTCTTATTGCAGCTTGTAGAAAAAAAAATAAAGTC